GTGGTAGGTTATCCCGGGTGGGGTAGGGGAGGCTGAGGCCAGCAACTTTACTAGTGGTCTCCTGGGGCTGCAGCCGCGGCAGGAAGCCTGGCTGGCAGCCAGAGTATGGCTCTGGCCAGCCAGACTCAAATTTTGGATGGCATGCCACTGATGCCATGTGTTTTTTTGACCCCAGGATCTCCCAGGGTCAAATCCCCCTCCTCCATGCTGCAAGGTAGCGGTGCAGAGTATGCCTGCATGTACGGTCTGTGGCACCACATACCGCACGACTAAGCTTGTCTGGACACAGCCCTGAAGGTTTTTTATTTTTTTGCTCCAAGCAGCTGGAGTCCTCCAAAAAGAAAGAACTATACAGCTGCTTTGTAGTGTTGTTCCTATCAACTACTCTAAGCCCTGTCATCAACTATATCAAGGGAAAACTACCACTAAATTCAGTGGTAGTAGGTTTTGGTCGATGAACACTTTGGGTTGGGGATGTCAGTGTTTCTTGGTAGGGAGGGTTTGGACATGAAAGGACAGGCTTTCCTGGGCAGAATATATTAACCGTTTTCCCAGAAATGAAGTCTTCAGTTCTACGTTTAATGCTAAATAAGGCAAGTGGATGTTGGAACACACTAGGGAGAAGCAACCTATGGCATCAAGGTGATGGCAAGGGAGACCAAAAACTTCTCTGCTGCCCATCCAGCCCAAGAATCAGCTAACAAATCCAAAGTTGAAGTGGAGCCCAAGAAAAGGGAGGTTAACCATTAGACCACCCTTCCTAAACTCTGACACTTGTCAACTGATACTGAGATATCCATTACCACAACCCCTTTGGTCTCCTTGATAGAGAAAATATTTCACTTCTGCAATGGAATCAGTATGTTTAATTCAGTAGAAAAGTGGAAACTGAAAAGAAGACATTATGTTATCACTTCAATCACACTTTACTCCCTAATACTCTTTTCCAATTTCCCTGTCTCTATCTCTTACTTTAATCTTATTGTTTTGTCGATCTCTTCCACCTTTTGCACTGATCCCTTTGGTGTTTCAGCCACAAGGAAATCATTAACCCATTTTTCAGCACTGTATTTCCTCTATACTATTTATAAAAGATAATGGTGACACATCCCACACTCCAAAGTGAAATTCAGACAAATGAGCTGAATTCTGATGAACATGCACATGAGATCATACGTACAGATACATTCATTTCACTGGGTGAATCACCTCATATCAACACAGGTATTCTTCAGTGCCATAAAGCAATTTACCAAAACAGCAAGAAGAGAACAAGCAGGCTTTATTGCTGGTATCAGTTCAGACATGTTATTTTTCCCCCAACATAATCCCTCATTACAGTTAATTAAAGTCTTCCTCATCTTGAATGTCCCCAAATTATCCATGAATATAATCATTGTTCAGACAGCTTTTTCACAATAGAAGACAACTTTAAGACCTAGTCAGCAGTGAATATACACAAAGTTCTGTCTAGGAAGCTGCATATTTATGTCTGCAATTTGTGACAGACCATCTGTCTAACTTCTCCCCAATTTGGGATACTTAAACTGATCATACAGTCCTGCCCCTAACTGCTTTTACCATGTCCAATTTTGAATCTCTTGCGCACAGCATAATTCCAGGCATTCATTAGGAATCTTGGGTGCAAACTGGGATTATGAAAAGCAAGTGAAAACACTGTTGATGTCCTTTCCCACTCTGCTTTCTGAAAGGCAGCACTTCATCTTTTGTGCTCGTCAGCAAATCTCCCTTGTAACAGTGAGAGCACACTCTGACAATACAGACATCACCCGCAGCGCAAAACATATTTTCCTGCAACCCTCATTAGCCACCCTTTGTCAGACATTCAAAAGTAGTTAGTGAAAATTATTTTAAATGTGCCAGCTGACATAGAAAGCCACTTGTTACAACGGCGTCATGTCTTTGCTAAAATGGATGCTTCCGAAGTAAGTTCTCTGTTTTTAAAAAAAAAAAAAAACTTAGTAGTGATGCTCTTCTAATGCAAATGCCCAGTCTCAGTAAGTGAGTATGCAATACTCAGAGGGTTCCAATTTAATTATTTGACAGTAACAGTATTACAATCCTGGTGCTTGCCTGCATCATCAATATGCTGTATTTAACAGAATTAAGCTTCTATTTGTTGCAAGAATAACACTTGAAACTTGTTGGTATGATGCCTTACTGGAATGAGTCCTATTTAAATGTATACCAGTTAAAAGACAGAAATAAGACTTTTTTGTACTAGAGAGAAAGGAGTTTTAGACTTGTCTAGTAGCTGGACATTTTGAAAGAGGTCACTTGGTCTTTGAAATGCAATGCTTGCAATGCTTAAACCAGCCTTGCAAAATTTGACTCATTTACTGCTAACGGTGAATAAAGATTCTTATGTGGAAGAGATTGCTTGGTACAGTCGTGACCAACTTTTTGGCAGGGATGCCAAAAATTAACTCTGCACCCTCTCAGGGTCCCACCCTGATCCCTTTCCCCTGCCTGCTCTTTCTGCCTCCTGCCCTGTACTACATGCCCAATCTGTTGCTCTGCTTTTCCTTTCTGCCCCACTTGCTGGTGCCCTGTCTGCCTGCCGTAGGCCACACACGTGGCAGGCTGGCCATGCCTGGAGTAGTACGTGACAAGTTTTTACAATGATTTTGCGTGGCTGTACTACAGATTGTAGTATGACCCCTACTGATAAGACTGATTCACCAGCTCACCTTTGCCCTGCTCAGTGCTCAATGAGCAAACTAACTAAGTTACTGACAGACATTTATGGTGCAAGATTAACTTGAAAAGACAAACTCTGCCAGACAAATCTATGTAATTGTTGCCCTTGTTCATAGAATCTTTAAAAGTTGCTGAGCTTGACAGTTTAAAGTAGGCAGAGCCTCCCTTTCATCCTGGCTGAGTGGGAATATTGCTATGGAAATCTGCTGCAGTGAGGTCTGAAGTCGACTATGGTCTTAGGCGAAGCTGTATTTGAGAGGAATGATTCAGGCTCTCAGTTTGAGAATGCATGTGCTGGACAATTCACTTACAGAATTTATGAAATTGCGATTTCTAGAGAACTGCAAATCTTCATCAACAAGAAACTAGCGACTTGATAGTTGTGTGGGTTTTTCAAAGGTACCACAATGACCAAGGAGTAAGTGCATAGAATATTAAGACCCATTTCAAAATACCACCCTTTGTTTTGTTTTGACTTTTGGCTGCAAAAAAGACATGCATCTCAGGGTTAAATCTTCCTCTTCTACTTCTGGGCCAAACAGCAAAGGAAATTAAGGGCGGGGAAAGGATCACTAACACTTCAACACCCCCAAATTTCCATTGTTGGTAAAGTTGTTTCAAAACACTGTTTTTGTGAAAACAAACAAAAACGGCTGATAGCAACTAAATATGTTGCTTAGTGAGGGAGAAAACTTCCTTTAGTTTTGAACAATTTTCCAGAGAACCGCAGCCAGAAAGTGTGCTTACAGCTCACATAGACATATCCAGGCTAACTTGAGTTTTTACAGCAATGTAGTTGCAGCAGCAGCAGAGAACTCACCTAGGCTGCAAAACCTACCCACGCAGCTGGGCAATTACAAAATGCTGAGCTCTGTGCTGCTGGAGCTACACAGCTGTCAGCTTATAGCATCTTGGATCTGTCTACATGAGCTGAGGCTGCATTTCTGGATGGGATACAGACATACCACAGGCCATTAGAAATTTCATACAAAGTCCTTGAAATAGGTAGGCAGTTGGCAAAACAAAGCACGCTAGCGGATGGTTAATACATGTTGTCTAAATTATCAAAGCTTGGTACCCCGGTTATTTGTAGCATAAAAAAACTAATGTGCAGAAAGTTTTCTGAAACCCAGAATAGTGTCTAGAAAGTTTCCTGTGATCTTTATTTGTACACTGGTGAACCCATATTTTTCCAACAGCTGCTTATATTCAGAGGCACTTCTCTGCTTGCCTTCAGTCATACTGAGGGACTGCAGTACAGCTCTAGGAGGGTTTATCTTCTCTTCGTTGAGCACAATTTCTGCCACTAGCAAGGCACTTCCTGCATTTCCAAAACAACCAGAAATGGTTCAATAAGATATACTGGTCTTCAAAACATCGACAATGTCATTTCAAGCACTTATAATCAG